TTTCTTCCTCTGGGGATTGAGCCTATGGACCCTTAACTTCCAAGGTACATAGATAGACCTTTTCCTTTTAATTCTGAGTCAGGATCTCAGTAAGTTGCTGAGGCTGACCTCAAACTTGGGAGGCCTCCTACCTCAGTCTTCCACATTGCTGGGATTACAGGTGTGCACCACTATGCCTGGCCATATTCCTTCTCTGAGCTTATCAGTTGACCAAGTTCAGAGAGAGTGCAGATGGTGATGATGGAGATTGTGGTAATGGTTGTGATGGTGAAGATGGTGTTGAGGACCATAGTGCTGATGGTGCTGACATTGATATTGAGGAGCACCGTTCAGTGATATTGAGGAGCAAGCAGATGGTGCTGCTGTTGGAAGGAGCTGATGTGTTCAGTTGGGTGTGCATTAGGCACCTTGCTGACCCTCACACGTGTCGCCACAGGATGCAGTCAAGCCTTGTGAAGCAGGCTTCCTCCTGATCCTTAGCAGTTGAGCAAAACTGGTGCAGTGCACCTTGTGCCCTTGAAATGGAAGAGGGAACTGAAACTTTGGAGAGTGGAAAGACAAGCAGGGGTCTGTAGCTGACTTGGACTTAGAAATGAAACCTGGTAGTACTTTCCCCAAGCCCTTAAATTGTTGTTATTATGTTACTAATGCCGACTTTTTGTAGAAAATATAGAATGCATGTTTAAAAAAAACACCCGAGCCAGGTGCGGTGGCGCACACCTGTAATCCCAGCAGTTTGAGATGCTGAGGCAGAAGAATTGTGAGTTCAAAGCCAGCCTCAGCAACTTAGCACGGCCCTAAGCAACTCAGTGAGACCCTGTCTTTAAATAAAATATGAAATAGGGCTGGGGATGTGGCTCAGTGGTTGAGTGCCCCTGAGTTCAATCCTAACCCTAACCCCAGAACCAAAAACAAAAAGAACACAATTTATAGAAAATTCTACAGCTGAGAAATTACCATTATTTTACATATGACTCAATTTTGTTTTTCTATATTTTTCCAGTGTAAAATGCTATTTGGTAAAAATAGCAAAAACAGCTTTAAACTTGTGTTTGTTTGTACCCTTGTCCCCTGTACTGGGGATTTGGAACCCCAGGGCTACATATGTTATACCTTGGTGCTGCGTCCCCAGCCTAACTCATGCCATTATTAAAGCATTTGACTTTCACTTAGAATTAGTTACAGACTTAAAAATACTTGGCTGCATTGACAAGTTTAGCTTGTTTCTCTCAGGCTGATAGTTTTGTTGTTCCTTCTCAGCTTTTATTGGAAGGCTGTTGGACCTCGTATGGTGGTAATGGCTGTGATCCCAGCTACTCCAAAGGTTAAGGCAAGAGGATCACAAGTTCAGGGCCAGCCTCAGCAACTTAAGGAGACCCTGTTTCAAAGTAAAAAATAAATAAAAAGTGCTGGGGGTGTACTTCAGTGGTAGAGTACCCTGGGGTTCAGTCCCCCATACTGCCAAAGAAAAAGAAACAAAAAAAAAAAGACTGTTGTATCTAACAAAAATATCTTACTGCTATAATTCTCCAGGGGTTCAGAAGTTGACTTCCCAGTTGCAGAATTAGGTTTGCACTCCATGTTGTATGGTGTTCTGCCTCTGCCCAGCTCCACAGCAGCAGATGCTCCCAGGCCTGGGGACCTACAAAGCGGAGGAGGTGGGAAGAGCACCCACAGGCTGCTGCTCATGCCTGACTGCACTTTTTTGTGGTTCTGGAATTGAGCCCAGGGTTTCAATGCTAGGCATAGAGAGGTAGCAAGTGCTCTGCCACTAAGCCCCATCACCAGCCCCTGGAGAAACACACTATTAAGTTTTCCTTTCTTTGCAGAAATAGAAAAATGTGGAGTTATACAAAGAAAATAAAAATTCACCCATATTCCTGGAGTGCTTTGTCCTCTTAAGCTTTTATAAAAGTGTGTTAAAGGACAGAATGGAAATTTTTTTTTAAAAAAGTGTGAACTTCATGAAAATTTAGCATTAAGATCTCTTCCTGGAGCTGGGAATGTGTGCAGCACTCGCCTAGTGCTGTGAGGCCCTGGGTTCGATCCTCAGCACCACATAAAAATAAATAAATAAAATAAAGGTACAGTGTCCATCTACAACTAAAAAATATTTTTAAAAAAAGAAAAGAAAAAAGATCTAAAGATCTCTTCCTATTTTGTTGATTTTAAAACTTGCTTTTAATAAGTTCTGCATAAGGAAACATTGTGATTAAAATGAGCTTTGGTGTTCACTTACTGTTTTGTTTAAATAGGTGATTTGTGAACGAAGCAAAAATAAGCCTGTGGAACTGAAAGAGCGGATCAGAGAGTACCTAAAGGGTAAGTTTGGGGATCGCAGGGGCCTGTACTGCGCCCTGTGTCCGGGCAGTACCACAAGTTGGCTCCTGGGCCCCAGAGAGAGTGCTGTGCCCTACCTCAGGGGCCTCTTCAGGAGCCTCCACCCTTTTCTGCCACTTCTCTTTTGTGTCTGTTCTTTGAGCTCATTTCTAGAGTGGTCTGTGATGAGCCCGTCACCAACTGCTGCACATGACCTCTCTCTCATCCCGTGGGTCTCACGTGGCCAGTTTCTTTGCTCCCTTCTGGTTGGGTTGGTGGGTTTGGCTTTTGTTGGCTGATTTGTTTCTAGGAGAGTGCATCTGCATCGGGACCAGCCATCCTCTTGGCTCAACCTTTTAAGACCAGAACCCTATCTTGAAAAAAATAAAATGTGACCCATTTTCCTAGTGTCTGTTTTCTTGCTCTGTCCGCTTAAGCTTTCACGAAAGCCTTAACAGGACAGAATGCGCAGTGTCTGAGTGCGAGTCTTCTGCGGCAGTTCCTCTGCAGGGCTGGGAGGGGCCAGTCTGCTCTCTGAGGCCTCCCTCCTCTGGTGAGCAGCTTCCAGTGGTGACGCCTGTGCTAGTGGCCTGTGGGCCTGACAGGTGGGGAGAGGGCTGGCTTCTGGAGGCCCTTCTGCTGTCCTCTGTGTTGATTCCCTGAGTCTCAGGAGACACCCTGGAAGTGCCTTTCCTTTGCTGTCTGGAGGTTCTGCTTGTTGGGTGAGGTTGCATTTTACTGAGACCATGTGTGCCTGCTTCTCCTGCTTATGGCACACAGCCATAGCTGTCCCTTGGCACTGTGTCTCAGGGCACTTGCCCAGCTCAGTGATGTTGTGGCCTCGCAGCCCAATTTTACTGTCTGGTCTTTTGTAGAAATTGGTGCCAATCCCAAAGAGCTGGACCACCACTGTCTTCTGATCTCCTCTAGTCCTGATTATACTTCCTGTGTACGTATCTGTATGTAGAGGAAATGGACCCATGTGGCAGCAGCAGAGGTGCCTCCCTGGGCCGTCTGGGCATGGCCAGAGGCCCCAGGGTTGTTTCAGAACATCTCTAAGCAGCCAAACAGACTGACCCACTCTGGCATTTTAAGCCACGCTTTAAAAGAAGTGCCTTATGCCTTAACACTGGCATTACTCTGCTACAGTAGTGAGATAGTTACTTGGTTTGCTAATGCCTTTCCTGTTGGAGACCATAAAAGTGTGAACCCTAAGATCTGCTGATCCAATTGTTTTCTAAGGAGACGATTATGCTTTGCTACCCAGCTTTTCCGAGCCCCCAAACATCTTCTTTGGTCCTACTGAGGGACTCCTATAATGCTCAGGCATTGGTCAGCCTTGATGGTCAGGTTGTGGCCTGCCGCTCTTTAGATTCACACACCAGAGAGTGTGCTGCAGATGGCCTGTGCGGTTGCACACTGCCCCTATGCCACCATAATCTACGCTTGTGTAAAGAGAGGGAAAAGTCCAGGCATGCACCTTTGAGAAGGCCTGAGTGCAGTTCCTCACATCAAGGTACTGGGGGTGGGGACCCAGGGTGCTTCACTGACCCTGACTGAGCTGCCTCCCCAGTGCTTTCAGTTTATTTTTTAATTTGAGATAGAGCCTTGCTGAGTTGCCCAGGCTGGCCTGGGACTTGTGATCATCATGCTTCAGCCTCCCAAGTAGCCCCAGTCACAGGCGTGGCCACCATGTTGTGCACGAATCAAGTTTTTTTAAAGATCTTTTTTTTTTTTTTTAAGTTGAACACAATACCTTGATTTTATTTATTTATTTATTTTTATGTGGCACTGAGCATCAATCCCAGAGGCACATGTGCTAGGCGAGAACTCTACCACTGAGCCACAACCACAGTCCACGAATCAAGTTTTGTTGATGTAATTTTTCTTGTTCTTTCTTTCTCTCTTTTGTAGATAGACAGAATACCTTTACTTTATTTACATATTTTTATGTGGTGCTAAGGATTGAACCCAGTGCCTCACACATGCAAGGCAAGCACTCTACCACTGAGCTGCACCCCCAGCCCTTAGATAAAATTTTTCTTTCCTCAGATGCCAGGGATGGATCCCAGGACCCCACAAATGCCAGGCGATTGATTTATTGCCAAGCTATAACCCCAACCCTGTAGATAAACATTTTAAGAACTGATGGTGTAGCTCAGTGGTAGAGTATGTACCTAGCATGTTCCAGGCCCTGAGTTTGATTCCCATCACCAAAACATCCTACGAAACCCCCAAATTTTTAAAGGACTTGAATATGCCCCCAAAATAAAATTAGTATTTTTACAAATATTAGGTAAATTTTACAATATGCTTTCCCCCACCAAAAAAAAAAAAAAAAACTATTTCATGTCTACTAAAAGAAGAACCTGTCAGTTACTTGTGAATTACATGCAAGATGCATTGCGATCTTGGACATTCCAATGTGAGATGCAGTGTTTCTGTTGCTGTGGTCTTGGGGATCCTCTAGGTGAACATACAGTACTTCTGTGATGAAAAAGCTGCAGGGCGTAAAAACTATCATAAGCATGTAAAGTAAATGTCCAGGTGACCTTTGGGTCATGATGGGCAGTGCCCCGCTTGCCTCCACTCTCATGGCGGGGATGAGATGCCAGCTCCTCCCCCAGCTGCCTCTGGCCTGTCTTCCACAGTCTCCTTCCTTCCCCACTGCTTTCCTCAGGAAGATGTGAGGCTTACTACATTCCCTGCATCCTGGCCCAGAGCACACAAGAACCTGGTCCCTCTGTCAGGCCAGAAAGCAGGAGCCTGTGGCTGATGCCTGTTCTTCCTCAGGTCACTACTACGTGCCACTTCTGAGAGCAGAAGACACTTCCTCTCCAGTCATCGGGGAGCTATGGTCCTCAGACCAGACGGCCGAGGCCTCAAACACCAGCCACTGTGGAAGTGACCCCAGAGAACCTGTGCTGACCCTGAGAGCCTTCGCAGGGCCCCTGAGTCCAGCCAAGGTGAACTGCTGTCCTGGCTGTCCCCATACCGCAGTGCCGGCTGCTCCAGCCGTGCTTTGACTTGGTCGTGGAAACCTAGTCCTGTGGAACCCAGAGTTCCATCTGAATTTGTTTACTCCAAGGTGATGGCAAGGCTTTTGGACGTTTGCTGTGTTGCTCAACTATCAGCTGGGTGTGTGTGTTGGGAGCCCACCTCTCAATACAGCAGTTTACCTGGCCAGCCCCTCCTGTGCCATCCAGCGTGGTTTTCCTGTCTCTGAGCACCCAGCTCATGCTGCATGCGTTGCCAGGCCAGGGCGGCTATCCAGTGTCTCTCTGGACCCCCCCGAAGGCTCATATCCCACTCTTTTCCCTGATTGCACCTCCCACCCTTTGCTCCCAGAGCTTGAGCTTCTAGCAGCCCCTCCCTTTGCCCCTGAGCTGAAGCTGCTGGTTTGTACCCACATTCCTGGTGTTCAGGTGAGTCCCTAACAAGTGGTGTTGCTAGGTCAAAGGTCATGCACATTTTTAAGTCAAAATACCATTGGTAGCTCTTTCTCCAGTGAAATTTTATACACTGACATGTACATAATCTCTTGTTAAAAGCTTTCTAAATAAGCCAGTGTAATAGTGCAGGCCTATAATCCCAGCTACTTGGGAGATGGAGGCAAGAGGAGACACTTTAGAGCCCAACCAGGACAACTTAGCCAAATACTGTCTCAAAAGAAATAAACTTCTCTAAGTTATTGGTTGTTTGGAGACATTTTTTAAAATGTCTCCATGATGAGTTATATGAGCTGAATTAATCAGAGCTCTAGTAAAAGTGACTCAGGAGACGGCATCTGTTGTCTTGTGTGATAGGAAGACATGGTACCAGGGAGGGCAGTTCAGCCAGGCCTGCTGATCTCAGGACTAGGCCTCAGCCTTGGGCCCTCTGGGCTGGGGCTGACTGCAGTCGGGTGGCCTCTCCTGGCTGTAAGACAGGCAGCCACACGGCTGCAGGCTGCTAGAGGATATGGGCACAGTTGTGGAGATGGCTATGGGGTCTGCATGATGTTGGTTCTGAGTGCTAGGTGATTGGCACAAGCCACAGTATGACCACACTTCTCTCTTTGTAGGCAGAAGACTTTCGGAGACTCTGGAAAACTCCACCTCGAGAGAAAGCAAGCTTCTTCCACAGTGTCAGGAAATCTGACCCAGAAAGAGGCATTGAGAGAGTGGGAAGGTACTGGGGGAGCTCCACCAGGCTGCAAGTGGTGCAGGAGCGTGTGCGGTGTGGTTACTTACTGATTTGATAACCAGGAGCCTGACTGTGGCTGCTTCAGAATGACACGTCTTCTGAAGACACTTTCTGGGAGCTATTACAGTCATTTCTTCAAGGCTAAAGACATTGCAGAACCAGGTTCTGTGGTGTAATTCCAGGGACTTGGGAGGCAGAAGCAGGAGGATCACAGGCTCAAGGCCAGCCTCAGCACCTTAGTGACCCTGTCTCAGAACATGGGTTGGGGGTGTAGCTTAATAGTTGAGCATCTTGGCTTCAGTCCCTGTTACCGCCAAAAAGAAGGAAGGAAAAACTTTGCAAATGTTACACATGCTGCAATTTGCTTTGCAGAACCATAAGATAAAACATTCCCTTTCCAAACTTTGAGCAGTCCTACAACTTTTCTGTGAGATCTTAACATTTTGTATAAGGTACTCTGTATATTGTACTTCCTTTGAGGAAAAAAAAAAAAAGATTAAGCGCCTTCTGCTTAAAACACAAGAGGTGACTTGTGATGGAACAAAGTCCACAAAGGCAAAGCTAAATTATAGTGGAATAAAATAAAACTTTGTTGGATTGTTGAGACCTTTTCTCAAAATAAGTGTCCAATTTGAAGTTTACAGCTTGAACCTACAAAGGGCCTTTAAATTTTATGTATGTGGCTAAAAAAAGCATATGTGTTGGTGGGCTCTTGCTCTGTGACCTTTTTTCTGTGAAGTGGGGTGGTGTGAGGATACCTGGGGCTTTGGACTCTTTGAGTTGACTGTGTGTGGTCCACTCCATCACCAGTAGTTCCTCAAGGGACACTGCTAGGTCTCACCTTGGTGAAGAAGTGCTAAAAAATGCAAAATTAATTTTAGTCCCAAGTTTATGATAAAATACATACAGCCTGGCCCCAGTGCCAGGTAGTGGGCCCACAGCGTTGTGCATAATAGGTAAGAACTCCACCCGGGCTGTACCTCAGACCAGAGAAGCACAAGATCATGCCCAAGATCGCAGACACTGCTTAAGACATCAGGTGGCTATTTTCTGTGCATTTGGTTCTATGGGTATTTTTTCCTGTTTCTCAACTGGTATATTTGTGTTTTATTTTTTACAGGGAGCTGGCTCATGAGCTGGGGTATCCCTGGGTTGAATACTGGGAATTTCTGGACTGTTTTGTTGACCTATCTTCCCAGGAGGGCCTGCAGAGACTGGAAGAGTATCTTGCTCAGCAGGAAATGGGCAGAAAGGAGGCCTGCCCCCGAGACCAAACCCCGACTTCTGGTGAGCAAGTATGATATGGGGAAGCTGCAGCCCCTCGGGGAGAGTCCATCTGTCTCTCTTCTCTCCTGTGTTTTTATTGTAATAATGGGCACTTTCCTCGGACTCACGTTGGGGTGTCTGTACAGGTGCGCGTTAAAACAAGCAGCATGTGCTTCTGGCTCTTGTTCTTACCCAGATGCTTCCCTCTGGGCTGTTTTTCCAAAATGCAGAACAGCTCATGTTGTTTTATATGTGGTGTTTCTCATGTAGTTTTTCTAAACATACCTTTATCCTTGAGTAGATTGCATAACTGCAGGGAAAAGGCCAAGTTCTAGAATGGCAGCCTCCTTGTCAGACCACAGGGTGCAGGGCAGCCCACAGATGTCAGCAGCACCATCAGCACAGAAGTCAGGTCTGGGTGCAGCTGCGGGTGGAGTGCATGCTTAGCATGCAGGGGGTCCCAGGTTCAGTCCCTACTGATGTAAAACATTCTTAAATATTAGTAAGAGAAAAGTTTTAAAATACCCCAAAAATGAAATGGACATAAACATATTTCTAGTTGAAATAAAAGCATGTATCTCCCTAGTGTCACACAGACCTTTAAACGCACCCCTTGTTGGGACGGCATCCTCCCAGGCCCAGACATGGCAGGCCTGCCTCTGGGCAATAGTCTGCTCGGTCCAGAGTCTCTCTCTCTCTCTTTTCTTTTTTTTTTTTTTTTTGGTACTGGGGCTTGAACCCAGAGGCACTTAACCACTGAGCCACATCCCCAGCCCTGTTGTGTTTGTTTTTAGAGACAGGGTCTCACTGAGTTGCTTAGTGCCTTGCCATTGCTGAGGCTGGCTTTGAATTTGCGATCCTCCTGCCTCAGCCTCCCAAGCTGCTGAGATTAAAGGCATGCACCACCGCGCCCAGCCAGAGTCTCTGCAAGAGAGGAGATGCTTGCATGCCCTGCTTGTGAAGCAGTGAAAGGCTGACACTGCTCAGTGCTCAGCAGGGTGGGACTGGCTGAATGCACTGTCGTGTTCCTGCACAGAACTTAAAATCACGCTTCGGAAAAGTGATGAATGAATGATGTGAAACAAGGCTTAGCTATAATGAAAGATGTGTAAACAATGACAACAATCAGTGGGGGACCTTTCCATGTGGCTGTGTCAGTCAGCCAAGGTCAGATAAGCTCCTTCCTGAGAAGCATGAGCCACATTCGAGTGGCTACTGTCTTGACAGCATTTCCATCCTGGGAGGACATGTTGCTCTCAGGTAGTGCTTCTGCACGCCACCCACAGGGAGAGGATATGGTGGTTCTTAGGGGATTGTTCTGGGTGCTGTTTCAGGGCCCAGCAGGGTCTCAGCTCCTGCAGGTGTGAGCTGGTGCACCACAGCCATTCCTGCCCTTGAGGGGGGTGGCCCAGGAGTGCTTGTGGTGTCTCGCCTTCTCCCTTTCCCATGGGTAGTGCAGGTGGTTTCTGCCTTGAAATCTTGTGAGGCTGTGGGTTAAAGGGTGGTTTCTTGGTGGGTCCCAGGTCTGCAGTGCACTTGAGGATCACTCAGGCCTCTGAAGTGCCACTCTGTCACCCTCACAGGTAGCAGGAAGAAGGGCAGCAATTCCATTTCTGTGGGGGCATTTCTAGATGAGGACAATGACGTGAGCTTGGAAGAAATTACAAATGGGCAGAATGCAGCTCCACATCAGAGCCAGCCCACAGTCAGTGCTTTTGGAAACTTGGAGCACAGTGGCCTTTCCCAGGGGCAGCAGGCAGACCCAGTGGGAGCCTCAGACCAGCACCATCCCCACACCAGCAGAAACAAGTTCTGCAGTCCCTTGACCCATAGCAGGATCCCAGGCGTGGAGAAACCAGAGGCCCTCAGTGGAGAGGAGGCCCTTTTGTCACCTATCTCCAGTTTGACTCTTGAGTTTGATAAAATGGATTTGCGAAATCTAAAAGATAGCCTTTCTAAGACAGCAAATAAAAATATGAAAACTAAAGATCAGATCCTGACTTCAAGAAAGGACATACCGCCTGCTGCTGCAGTCGGACTGGGAAATGACCAGATGAGGACAGATGGCGAGATGTCAGCTGGTCTGGCAAAGATGTCCCTGGACCCCAACAGTCCTGAGTGGGGGAACCAGCAGATGTGCAGACCTCAGTCCCAGCCTACACCCCTGTCTGCATCCTCCCCCTCCACAAGGGACAGCACCAGGAGACTGTTCCTCTTTGGGTAAGTGCGTGGCGCTCTTTGCCCAGTGGCACTGTCTGTAGTTCCTCTCACCCTTCCCCGCAGTTTGATTTGATGTGCACTCTGGTTCCTCTCTGTCTTGAGTTCATAGCTCTTTCGTTTTTTAATTGGTACTGGGGATTGAACCCAGGGGTGCTCTGTCACTGAGCCATCTCCCAGCCTTTTTTTTTTTTTTCCACTCTGAGACAGAGTCTCGCTAAGTTGCCCAGGCTGGCCTGGGACTTGGCCTCCTGTGTATCTGGGGCCACAGGTGTATGCAGCTGCCCTGGCAGGAGTGTGCACATTCTTGCTATCTTCTAGAAGGCTGGACTGGCTGCTTCTCGTGTCTGCTGTTATATGCTAGGGAAGTCAGTGCCACCAGGACTAGGTCTGCCCTAAGAATAAATTTGTTTTAGTAGGCAGAGCTTCCTGTCCATAGCAGGATAGATGTGCCAGTGTGGGGCCAGCTGATTAGTGACCTTCTCCTTAACCTCCTCATTCTCAGCACAGGACAGTGGGGTTGCCACGCCCTGTCAACCAACCTCTTGCTCCCTCCAGCTGATCCCTGAGGTGGGAATGATTTCATGGTTCACATGCCCGAGTCAGTTTGGTTCTTGTACACCATTCTGTTCACTTGCTGGGTTCTAGAGTTTAATGATGTTTTGAGAGGCTTTGTTTTTGTTTTGCAGTACTGGAGACTGAACCCAGTAGTGCTACCACTGAGTTGCTCAGACTGGCCTTGGAATTGTGATCTTCTGGCCTCCACCTCCTAAGTAGCGGAATCACAGGTGTTTCTGCATTTTCTTGTATCCTTTTATTATGCATTCTAGAGAGGAGCCATCAAAACTCGATCGGGATGTCTTGGCAGCTCTTGAACGTGCAGATGTCGACCCGTATCTGTTCCCAGCTGTGCATAGATGGAAGAGCACTGTCCTGTGCTATTCCCCCTCAGACAGGCAGAGGTGAGGAGGGTCTGTCATGTGGTTGCTGTTGGAAGTGAGGTCTGGGGTGGCTGTGGTTGGAGACTGGTGGTCCTGCCCCATTGCAGTCCTGTTGGCCAGGCCACCATGTGCAGTCCTTGGACGTGGGCCTGGGTTCCACATGGCCATGACTCTCACATGGGATATGTCTCCAGTTGGGGGAAAATGAGAACGGCTGCTTGAGTGTTCGGGGTGACAGCAACCACGTTTGTAGTCAAGGTCACACACCTCTTTTTGGAACATCTGCATGTGTACATTCCTCACCTTCCAGTGCCCAGGGCCCTAGGTTCAAGAGCGCCCCCTCTGCACTGTGGTGGCCCCTGTCTAGGCATGGTATGTGTATCAGGTCCTGGAGCCTGTTCTCCTTGAACCTCCACTCTGCAGGTGTGCCCGCTGAGGTAACAGATCTTATTCTGGTTTCCATAGTTGGCCAAGCCCTGCACTGAAAGGAAAGTTCAAGTCTCAGCTGCCAGATCTTGGATGCCCTCACAGCTACAATCCAGTGCGAAGTGGTGCAGCCGGCAGCAGCCCTGGGAAACTCAGCCATGCTTCCTGTTCACCGGGCCTGGGAAGCCCCAGGCGCTATAGCCCTGCACACGGGAGCCATCTCCGCAGGGTGGCACACATAGCCCAGCTCACAGCCCTATAGGGTTGGTACTTGCTGCAGAGGCTTGGGGTTCCTAGGCTTATTGGTCAAATTTCATAAAGGAGTATATTCTGAATAATTTATTAATCCTCACTTTGAGGGTATAATTTTAGAAATGCAAATGTTCTAAATAAAATTTACATTTCTGATAAATGGAAGAAGTTAACAAAAGTACACTCAGATACGTGTTTCGGGTAATGATCCCGGGTTTGTTGTTGGGCAAAGGTGCAAAGGCCCTTAAACAGCAGGTGGCCATCACTTCCCAATACTGAGCAGGCGCTATGGACGAGAGGTGACTGGCCCCGAGGTCAGCATCACCCTGTAGCTCTTGTGCTTGCCTCTACAAGAAGGCTGGACTGGCTGCCTCTTGTGTCTGCTGTTATATGCTACGGAAGTCAGTGCTCACCCAGACAAGGGCGAGCTGCATGTTATCTCGCCTTTTCTGGGGCAGCCGCATTCTGGTGCAGGATAATGGCCAACATGGATGGTCTGCAAGTCTTCCTGGATGGGCAGCAGGGAGCCAGTGAGCTTGCCTGAGTCAGATACTCAGTGGTATTCAAAACACTGCTGATCAGAGTAGTAGGGGAAAGTAGCTTTTCTCTTGGAAAAAAATGTGTAGCTATTGGGATCCATGCAGATGGTCAGAAAACTCACCAGCACATGAGCTGTCCCTCTGCTTCCCTTAGTCACCAGCTTCGTAGTGACCATTAATCTGTAACCTGTTCCCTAGCTTTGAAATTTGTCCTGAGAATTAGTTAAGCATAATTTTTTCTATTGCAGATTATACAAGTGGATCCCACGTTTAGAATTCATTTCAATTGGATTTCCTTGAAAAGAGCGTTTTGCTGCAGTACAGAAACCAAAATTTAAGTCCGTTCCAGTTACTTGTGGTGTTGACGTTAACCTTTTCCCTTGGCACCAGCCTGGGGACGGTCTGTCCCCATGTGGGGAGCAGGAAACACTGCCAGCTGCCAGGGTGCCTGAGGTAGGGTGGCCTTACAGCAGGCAAGTCTCTTCCAGGTGTCAGGACAGTGGCTCCCACACAGCATTCTGTGGACATGTCCAGTGTTTGATCCAAAACAAAAACTGCTGCTGCTCTTGCCAACCTCAGTGCCTTTTGTAAATCATTTTTAATTGTCCCGAATTTACTTTTTGAGACTATAAAATATATTAAGTAGGTATTCCTTTTCATATATAAAATTGCTGAATTGAACTGTGTAAAGAAAAAAGTTTTATTTCATGTGATAAACATGTTATTTGGGAATATTGGAATTAATATTTAGGTCTTAAATCCAGGTTTGTCACACAGGGTGTTTTCATTGTTGTGCCACAGACAAGCTCTGGACACAGGACGGAACAGCACAGTCTAGACAGTGGCATCTTAAAAAGGCATCTCTGTTCTAAAAAAAAAAAAAAAATCAAAACATGGATATTACACTCACAGAGATGCTCTGTTTTCTCCAAAGTCTTACCTTATTATTCTATATATTGTTGTAAATGTGCAGATTGAAATTAAATAGTTTTTGCTCTAATTTTACAGACTCCTGTTTTCTGTAGTTTTAGGCCCCTTTGACTATTTCTCCATTTGTTTGAACCTATCCTCAGTAAATGCTTTGTTTCCTGGGTGATCTTGTGTCCTTTTAAAAAACTATTGAATGAAGTAAGTTTATTTTTACACCATGCCTTCAAAAGATCTCTCACCTGTGGCTGGGCAGAATGTTTTTTAGTGAAACTTTGAGCAGTGTTTTGATGAAACAGTACATTTACCTGAGGGATTGATTTAGTTGGGATTTTCATTTGGGGTCTTTTGGTTTTGTTTTAAGATGGGGTCTCTATGTAGTGCCCAGCTGGCCTCTGGAACTGCTGGACTCGAGCAGTTCTCCCACGTTGGCCTCCACAGTGCTGGGACTATGGGCACACACCACTATGCCCAGCTTATTTGCCTTTTTCTTCCCCTTTCTTTACTTACACAGATGTAAGAAACACTGGTATCAATTAAAGTAGCACAAACTTTATAGCTGCATTTGGCAGTGGGAGGCCTCTTTTTGTGAGATGGCATGTAATCTTCTGTCACAGGACAGCCGTCAGGGTAGGTGTGAGCCACCAGAGAATGATTAGTAAAGAATAAGAGAGCCAGAAAAAAAGGTTTAAAGGAGATGGAGCGCCTAATAGGTCCTCCAGTCCACATAGGCGCTGGAACTAAACAACTGAAAAATGGCTCTGGTCTTTTATTTAAGGGAGCACATCAAAGACGAGACTTGCAGCAAACAGGTTGATTGGCATCTTGGCAAGCTACACCCATCTCCAGGAGGCTGTGTGGCTCCAGCTTGTCACCCATCTCCAGTGCAGTGCTGAACTCTGCAGTGCTGAGCTAGGTAGGAAGCCACATGTACTGGGCAGTCTCAAACCAGCAGGAGTTCTGCTGGGAGTTACCAGGTGCCAGACTTTCCAGCCTAACAGCTTCCATGTTGTTTTTAGTTCTTGCACAGTTGAAGGATGGCTCCGGGAAGTTGAAGATGATGATGTAAGATATTCCCCACAAAGAGGTGGGTGGGTGGAATCCAGAACAAGTCCCCACTCCTCTTTTCAGGGGAAAAGCAAGCTTAGGTGCCACTAAAACAAGTACCCTCTGCGCTGGCAGGGACTATAGCGAGATCCTTTTGAATGATGATAGGTCTCTCCAGAAACATTCACAGCTTTCTTGGACAAGGACTGATCAGGGCCTAGTGTGGGCGTCACTTGAAGCATCCACTTGAGCAGTCCTGGGGTACCAGCTGCCATCTCAGTCCAGTTCCATCAGGTCGTGCAAATTTTGTTTCAGATAGAGGGACTGCTGTTCCCACTGTTTAAGAAATCTCTGTCCATCCTGAGCCAGGGGCATGGCTTCTGTCCCCAGCATGAGAGGAACAAATAGCTGGTTCCCAGGTCAGTGTCTTAGAGACCCTGGAATGAAGCCATCCAAATGGTGAGGTCCCTCCGTGAGTGTGGATGCTGTAGAGACTCTGGTGCCCTGCCCCTCTGCCTTCTCCATATCCAGCCTTCAGGAGTTACCCTGCTAAGCGAAGCCAGCAGCCATCCCCACCGCCAGGACTGAGGCCCGGTCCTTACCACTGAGAAAGCAAGCGGGGAAGACCACTCCGAACAGCAAACACAAGGAACTGTGGAGAACAAAGTTTGCTGGGAATTTATATGGTGGTGCCCGCCTGTGATGGCCGCGGCTTGGGACTGCAAGGTCACAGCTGCTCTCAGCAACTTAGCGAGGCCCTGTCTCTAAATAAAATACAAAAAATGTCTGGTTACGTGCTCAGTGGTTAATCCTGAGTTCAACCACTGGTACCAAAGGGAAAAAAGCGAACAACGAAGCTTCATACAGGGCACAATCGCTGCGAGCTCCTAGAAAGGGGTGTAACTTTCCAGACAAAACCGGAAGCCGTTTCACAACTTTGACTTCAAATGTAAGGTCAGCAGTTTTCATTCTGGGGATTTCTTGCAGGAGCATCTGCAGATTGCTAGCTCTTCTGGTCATCCGGTGACTTACGTCCTTCTAAGTCTTTCTACCAAGGTCTCATTCCAGCTTCTCTGCTCCAGGCTACTCAGAATCCCAGGTCCCCCACTCCTCGCTTTTGGCGTATGAGATGGACTCTGCGCGACCCAGAAGTGAAGAGCAGAGCGGAGGTGAAGGGCAAGGGTGGAGCGAGGCGGAGGTGAAGGGCCAGGGCAAAGCCGAAGCGGGCGAGGTGTGGCTAGTGTGGAGGAGACCCTGGCCTGCCACCACCCTGAACTGTGTCTGGTTCCCATTTGCTGTCTCCGAGGTCCAGGGAGGAGACTGCGCCTCGGAATGGACTAGGCATCCGAGCAGGGCGTGTGCAAAAGCGGAGGCTTCCCCGAAGCCCTGCGACTGGGCGACACACATGTCCTGCGCCAAGTTCTGCACAGGCGGGCCGCCTAGAGCGGCCCTGCCTCGGGGTGGCAGGACACTGAGGTACCCAGGCTGAGGACAGACAAGCGCCCAGCGAAAGGGATTTCTAGTGACTCCACTGCTGTGTCCCGGCACAGTTTTCCCGTTTTCTTTAAAATAATCACGATTTGTATTTTTAAAATTTTATTATGTAGTTATTTCCAAAGAGGCCAGAGAAATGGATCAAATATCCCAATTCATTGTATTGATTACTGAAAGTGTTCATGAGCACTTCGTAGAAACTGGACTGCTTTTGTTGAATTAACAGATATTTGGGGTAGGCATATCATGTCCAAATGTTAACCCACAAGCCCAGAAGATGAACTGTGGCCAGGAGCAGACTAGGATGGAGATGTCAGCCCTGGGTATCTTCCCTGCCTGGCCATCACAAGCCCGCAGTCCCTGCCTGGTGTGGCCAGCCCCTGGACATGGCACTCCAGACTCACTTCCTCTCTCACCCAAATCCACTGTGCAGCTTGCCAGTCCCTGTGCCTTTAGATCCTACAGCATCAGGATCTCTCACTCTAGTGAGAAATTGGTTTTCAAAGCAAGAACCCAAATGAGGAATAGGTTTTAATTGACGAACACTGAAGTGACAAAGGCTTTTCAGAATAAGAACATGTGAATGAAATGAGTTGTTTAGAAAGTTTGTCCTGCTGCACCAGCTTGGGCGGAGCCCAGAGTCACTTACTGCTTTGGCCACCCATGCAGGCCTGCCATGGTTGTCCAGAGGGATGGCAAGCAGGGCTTGTTCAAAGCCCAGCACAGGCTGTCCTCTTGCCTGAGAAGGTCCTCACCCCACACCCATGGGGCTGTCCTGGCAGGCCAAAGGAAGGAAGTCAGGCTGTTTGGCCTGAAGGTCTCCCTTTCAGTGGGCCAGATACAAGTGTCCCCAGCATCTGAGACATTCCCACAGCATCTTCCTCAAAGCTGCACTGCAACCTGGACAAGGAACAAGAGGGAAGGCTGAACCAGGCTGCACGCAGAGAAGGGTGGAGTCCCAGAGGGGCCCTCAAGACCGGGTGATCTTGTTGGGGGGCATGAACCCCGTGTCCCCAAGGGTCCTGAGTGCTACTCGGCCATCCGGTCGGATCACGAGGTGGGTGATGCTGCCATTGTTGAGGGAGAGACGGAGCCAGCCTTCTGGAGGAAACTGCAGCGCTCTGCGGGAAGAAAGAACATGCCAGAGGAAGCTCATGCAGAGGGGGCCACAGTGCCCTGAGGGACAGGCAAGGCCCAGACCCTGGAGCACCAGAGCAGAGCAGACACTTCAGCTGGTCCCTTGGAGGGAGAGCTGGTCCCTCGAGGGTGCTCAGAGGAAAGGGCCCCTGGATCCACCAGGGCTCCACCAGACTCAAGCTGTGTGATCAGCACAAACAAGTTCCTTGCAGGGCATGCAATTTTATTTCTTCTTTACAATGTAACAAGTGAGAGGACAAAGTACACTAGATCCATTTCTCATAAAATTCAATGTTTTGTGCCAGGGGATGGAGGTGCAATCCACAACCCTGTAGCATTTTCATGCCCTTAAAAGTGCTTATTAGGAACAATAAACACTTGCTAAGAAGCTCAGTATCACATCTTCCTTGAGTCATCAAATGTCCTTCATGCTTCAGAAGCCAATCTGATCCTCAAACCCAGTGGACATGGTGACATTTTTCTGCTGCGGGTTTGGTGAATTTTTTTTTTTTCCTTTTTTTAATAGGGGGGATTGAAACCCAAGATGCCTCACCACTGAGCTATAAGGGTCTAGCTGGGGCTGGGGCTCAGTGGTACAGCACTTGCCTAGCATGTGTGAGGCACTGGATTCAATCCTTAGCACTACATATAAGTAAATAAATAAAGGACAATCAACAACTAATAAAAACAAAGGTCTAAAAAAAAAAGGGTCTAAGTTGCTGACTGGCCTTGAACTTTTGATCCTCCAGCTCCAACCTCCTGAGATTTCAGGCATGCACCACTGTGGCTCCATGCTGCTTTTTAAAATCCTCTCAGTATCACCCCTCATAGTTTGCAGGGCGTGCTCCTACAGACAGCACAGTGGAAACCGTGTGACTGCGTGGCCGCCCTGACTGCCCTGGGGAACTCCATTCACGGGGCTTCTGGTGCATCCTGGCATCAGGGTCACCTCCCATAACTGTCAGGGTTCACAAGATAATGTGGTGTCAACAGGAGCACACAGAGTACCAGAATGGCCTGATCACAGGCAAGAAGTGCACGACACAGGTCCAGCAGACAGGGGACGGGCCATCCCGGGAACCTTGTTCTTGCTGCAGGTTGAGCACAACACCCCGCCATCAGCCGCATCCCTTCCTGCCACCATGAGCCAGGGGAGGATCCTAACTCCCCGACAGCTTTGTGCATTGGCGGGGGGCGCCACTCTCTGACTCTGGGGATCCCCCACCATCCTTGGGCTTCTAGCTGGACCACATATGGGATGCCTAAGCAGATGGGTCACCACAGCCCTGTGGACACACCACAGACAGGAATAGAGACCGCCTCACTCCAGACAGTACCACTGACCAGACTCTGGGTGCAGAGGAGAGGCAGTCCTTGGTGACGGAAGCCCTGCTAAATGTTTTCTAGTGGGTCTACAGGTGGAGACAGGCTTCCACTGCTTCTCAAAGTCTGCACTCTACTGAAATTTGGTCAGACCTTTTACACATTTGAAGTGCAAGAGCCTTCCCATCAAGGGGCACATAGACGCTGCCCTGGCATTCATGGAAAACAGGCTGATTCCAGAGCTAAGACCAATACAATACATGAGTCATGCCAGGTGCAGTGGCGCACACCTATAATCCCAGTGACTCAGGAGGCTGAGGCAGGAGGATTCCAAGTTTGAGGCCAGTTTCAGCAATTTAGTGAGACCCTTTGTAACTTAGCAAGACCCTGTCAAAAAAATAACAAGGCCTGGTGATGTAGTTCAGTGGTAGAGTGCCCCTGGGTTCAATCCCCAGAATCAGGGGGGAAAAAAACCCCAAATATACAAGCCCAGAACATTCCATGGTACCAGAGTGTAGGGAAGGTCCAAAACACAGGTGACCCTGCAGAGCAGCCTGAGCAGCAAACAAGTCGCACTTGTGACCAGCACAGTCACAGTTCACGACCCAGAGAGCAGATACTGGCACGGGCAGTCACAGTGTTGGGAAATGGCCCGGTGGCCTAGGTGTTCAAGGCCCCCAGCAGTATTACGAAGGGCTCTATCTCCAGCCCCTCAAAGGCAAGAGAGAGAAGAAACAAATTCAACACACCCAAGGAAGAGGCGCAGCCCTCAGAAGGTGTTCAGGGAGGAACAAAAAGTGCAGGAAGCAGAATCCCCTCTGAGCTGGTCTTGGTGACTGTTTCCAGGGTCCCCTTAGACCTTCCCAGACGCTGGCACCAGCTTGAGGGGAAACAGGGTTTTTGCACAGTCCCAGGTATCTCTCCATCACCAAAGGGTTGGAAGCCCAGCATACAGTACCCTGACCACGGCAGCTCTACCTGTCCACCCAGAAGACCCTCAGGACACCAGGGCCCCGTCCACCTGTGCTGTTCTGCCAAAACAATCAGAGAAACCCCACCTCACAGATGTTTTCCACCAGAGAGCTGAGCAGGACTCTCCAGCTGTGTGACAAGGCCCAGAAGCTCCCAGAGGAGACAGAGGGGCAGCCACACACCCACAGAGATGGCAGGCAGCAAAGGGAAGGGACGGGTTGTGGTCTGGGCTTTTCTCTAGGTCTACACCCTCCAGCTCTGTGGGCCAGGCAGTGCCTACCTGCAGACAATGTAGCGGATAACATTGGCATGGCATATGAAGATTTCATAGCTGTCCTCCTCTTGCTTGGCATCTGCCCTGTGGATGTAGTTCCGGAAAGCAGCCTCGATCCGGGCACCATCTTCGTAATACTGCTGGGGGCAAAGTGAGGACCATCAGGGGGAAGCAAGGCGAGGTGGCCATCAGAAGGTATGCCCAGCCCTTGCCCCAGTGACCCATGGGGCAGTGTCTTTACCACAGCCTCTGGCTTCCAGTGAGACACAGGAGGGTCGGGCTCGATAGGTGCACCTTCCCGCAGCAGGTCTGTGCTGACTCTGGAGACACCTGAGGAGGAGCACAGTGTTGTCCACTCCAGGAGCCACCCTGGGCCCTCCCCTGTGGGCAGCATACACCCCAGGCTGCACTGCTCCTGTGCAGAGGCCCCTGGCCTACACTTACCTGGCAGGTGCTTGCTGATGATGTCTGTGGTCTCCACCGCACGGGTCATGGAGGAATGGATGATTTTACTAAACTTCAACCCCAGGCTGGCAAGTCGGAGCCCCGTGAGTTCAGCCTGTTCCCGACCTTGAAGGCAAATACCCCAGAACCACACATACCTTGATCCCTCCTTTAGCCAGTGACACCCACATAGGATCACATGCCCCCCACGGTCCTGGGCCTAGCAGGGGTTAGGGCCTCAATGAGCAATGCCAATAAGATCATCAATTCAACTGTCCTCAACCCCATGCAGAAAAATACACCTCAGTCTATTAGCAGTAAGGAGCAGATGTGCCCCACTGTTGGAGTCCAGGCAGGATTTACTCTGCCTCAACCAAGTCCACACAGCGTAGATCACCATGATGGCCACCAGCTCTGTGACACCCTGGTGGCCAATACATACACACTGAGGATTCAGTATCACTGAGCACCAAGCAGCTCCAAATATAGGTGCTTTCTTTTAAATTTATTTTAGCATCTGGCTGGAAATCGCCAGGAAGTCAGTCTCTGTCAGATGCAGACACCTCTGCGCTTGGTGCTTCCCTTCCTGTCTGTACAGTGTTTCAGGGAAGGAGCAGTCTGCACGAGAGCAGGAGAGCAGGCTAGAGAACCCTTTCACTATCAAATTTTTCCATATGAGCACAGATGGGGAGACCCCATCCAAACAGAGGTACTGTTCAGGCTAAGCTCAGCCAGGCACAAGAACAGTGTCTGCAGGGCCAGCTACTGAAGAAGCTGAAGTGGGAGGATCGCTGGAGCCCAGGCATTCAGGGTTAGCCTGGGCAACACAGAGAGACCCTTCCTCTACAAAGGTCGAGTCTAGACTCTCCCCACACCCCTTGTATCTCCATTTCCAGGATTTCTCCACAGGTGCACCTGCAGGCACAAGACACTGCTGCCCAGAAAGCCACCCAGATGCTGTGAACAGCCTGCAGGTGCTGGGCAGATGTCTGCAGGCTGGGCCGTGAGCCTGGCACAGAGTGCAAGAGGCGCCACTTCTAGAGCAACAAGAGCATAAGCCTTGCTGGACTGGGAACTGGGCCTGACCTCATGCATCAAGACACCACGGCATTTGCTTGAGTGTTTCCTTCAGTGCTGGGGATGGAACCAGGGACTCCCCCATGTTGGGCAAGCGCCGTGACACTGAGCCAACCTCAGCCCTGTATGTTCTGGCACAGGCACGTTAAGAAGCCTGTCTCCTGTCCAAGTTCAGCTGAAAATCACAGGTAATGATGATGTCAAAGTCTGGGCTAGTGGTCCCTGAAGGTTCAAGGGGACCCATGCCCCAACACCCTCAAGGCTGACTATGGAGATCAGCTGGGCAAAAGACCTAGGCACATACCTAGTGGGGTCAAAGTGCGGTCCTTTTCCAGGCAGCCGTCCATGTGGTATTGGGAATGCCTGATGAGGAAGATGTGCCTTGTGGCCTTCGCCCTGTAGTGGTCCAGCCTGGACGCCTGCTCCTCCTCTCCAGATTCCACGTTCCTCTTCCGCAGGTTGACCAGAGAGAGTGGCTCTCGCCTAGTATTAAAGATATGATGGAGATGTTGTGAGGGGAATGGGAAAAAAAAAAAAAACAAGGAGAGAAATGAATTACAGTAAATGGGGTAGAGAGAGAAGATGGGAGGGGAGGGGAGGGGGGATAGTAGACGATAGGAACGGTAGCAGAATACAACAGTTACTAATATGGCATTATGTAAAAATGTGGATGTGTAACCGATGTGATTCTGCAATCTGTATTTGGGGTAAAAATGGGAGTTCATAACCCACTTGAATCTAATGTATGAAATATGATATGTCAAGAGCTTTGTAATGTTTTGAATAACCAATAAAAAAATAAATAAAGATATGATGGCTGGGCTGGGGTTGTGGCTCAGTGGTAGAGTACTGGCCTACCAAGTGTGAGACCTTGGGTTTGATCCTCGGCACCACATATAAATAAATAAATAAAAAGAAAGGTATTGTGTCCGACTAGAACTAAAAAATAAATATTAAAAAAAAAAAAAAAGATACGACAGCATGTACTGTGGCCTCTGTTACAGACCCCTGTGAGAACTCTGCCAAGACAGTGACTTCTCCAGAGAAGCCAAGGCAGCCAGGGGTAACGCCTGCACACCCCGTCCACCTCACGACTGTAGCTAGGCCTGTTCTGTGCCTGGCAAAGCCTTCCTGCAAGGTGTGACCCAGTGAGGATGAGCAGGCCACGGACAGGAGGACTCAGGGCCAGTGTTAGAAAGGGGAGCCATGTGTGGTCTGAGGGGGCGGGCCTGCAGGCTAGGACTGCACTGTATGACTGAGGCCACTAGCTGTGGGCTATTTAAATTCAAAGTACAGGTGGCCCCTGAGTCTTCGGTATCCGCGGTCAGCACCAGAAGGGCATGTTTGGAAGACGATGCTCCTGTACTGGACACGTGCAGGCTTTTTCTTATCACTGTTTCCTAAGCAATATAGCATGACAACTACTTACATGAGGTCCATGCTATATTGGGTGTTGTAAGTAACCTAGGTATGATTTAAAGCACATCTGCATCAAACACTATACCATTTTACATAGGGATTTGAATTTTGGTATCCACAGGTCAACTGTAATTTAAATTAAATTATAATTGCATCTAAGCATACTTTATCTGATTTAAGTGGGGTAGTGGCTGTCAACTGGCACTTGGGCAGGGTAGGGGTCATGGAACTAAAAGTACTAAAGATTAAATGTGGGGGGCAGGGAACTTGGCCAGAATCTACTTGGTAGAGACTGTGGTGGGAGAGGAAGGTCTGGAGGGCCACTGACCCTCATGACTCAAGGATCATTTGGGCAGGGTTAACTTGGGGTGCTGGTCACACACCAAGCAGAGGTATGTTAGAAGGCACTGGGGAGCCTGAGACTTATCCATGCAAAGCTCTGGGATATTCTGGTATGGGGGTGGGGGCATAAGAGACAAGCCCCCTATATATTACCTTCACGGTGCTGCGCATCCCTGCCTGCCACCAGCCCTTCCATCCCCAAGCTCAATGACTTCCCCATCTCCCCACCCAGAAGTCTAGCATGGCAAGCAAACAGGGAGCCTTGCTGCAATCAAATAAGGCTGGACTCAACTTTAGGTTAATTTCAAACAAGTTCTTTGACCTCAGAGTGAATGTTTTCCTTTAAAAGTCCTGAAAAATTCAGAACACTCTTCTGATTTTTTAAAGCGAATGAGTCAGGCACGGTGGTGTACGCCTATGATCCCAGCAGCTCAGGAGGCTGAGGCAGGAGGATCACAACTTCAAGACTGGCCTCAGCAAATTAGCAAGGGCCTAAGCAACTCAGAGAGACCTTGTCTCAAAATAAAAAGGGTGGTGGATGTGGCTCAGTGGTTAAGTGACCCTGGGTTAAATCCCCAATACCCAAAGCAAACAAAAAATAAAAAGGAGAATGACTACAGTCTAACCACAAGAGAAACATCAGACAAACGCCAACTGAGGGACCACCACGAAACCTCCCCGCCATCATGAAAGGAAGTCTGAGAAGCTACAAAGTTAACAGGAGCCTAGGGACACCAAGAACCAACTGCCATGTGGGACCTGGGAACAGAAAGCAAAACTAAGGTTATCTCAACAAAGCACAGACTTCCATTATTAATGATCAGGATAGACTTATTAATTGTGATAAATCTACCATACTTAGTTTTAAAATGTTAAGAACAGGAAATTAGATGTGGGATATAAAAGGATTCTATTTGCAACTTTTCTATTATGTAAAATATTCCAAAATAAGTTTCTGTTTTAATAAAAGATTAGCCAGGCACAGGGGCACATGTCTGGAATCCCAGCAACTTTGGAGGCTGAGACAGGAGTATCACAAGTTCAAGGCCAGCCTCAGCAATTTAGTGAGGCCTTATCTCAAAATAAAATATAAAAAATAAGGGGCTGGGATGTGGCTCAGTGTAGAGCGCTCACCTAGTACATGCAGGGCCCTGGGTTCGATCCTCAGCACCACACAAAAAGAGATGAATGGAATGAAGGTATTGTGTCAAACTACAACTAAAAAATAAATATTTAGAAAACAAATTTTTAAATAAGTAAATAAATAAATGGACTGGGGTTGTAGATCAGTGGTAAAGCACCCCTCAGTTCATTCCCCAGTACCAATAAATAAATAAATAAAATTAAAGGTTAAAAAAATAACTATGAAATTCCTGATACAACTAGGGATATGATATTACCTCTGTGCCCAATTTCTAAGTGTCAGTGTAGAGATAACAGCTGCAGATACCTAGGGGGTTTAACTGGAACTGGGTAAATCCCACAATAACCAATCCCTGCCTCTAAAGCAGTCTCTCTAGTAGAAATAGAACCCAGCAGCATATGTAATTTTAAGTTGTCCAGTAGCAGCATTAAAAGAATAAAGAGAGGCTGGGGTTGTGGCTCAGTGGTAGAGGCTTGCCTATCATGTCTGAGGCACTGGGTTTGATCCTCAGCACCACACATAAATAAATAAATAAAGGCTTTAAAAAAAGTGAAGAGAAACAAGTGAAATTGAGTAATACACTTTATTTAATCCAATATACTAAAAGTACTGTTATTTCAAGCAAATATTGAAAAACTGCACTGCTTTGGGTTTTAAATTTATATTGACATTAAATAAAACTAAAAATCCTTGTGTAATTACAGGAGCATTTCAAAGGCTCAATAACGACAAGTAGATGATGGCCACAGCACTGACCACATCCAAGAAGCGCCTGGTCTACTCTGGCCTCCTCCTAGCAAACAGACCCTCAGCGAGGTGGACCCTCCTTGCTCACTAGCCCTCAGGCACCAGCACGGTCATCCTCACATTCGGACCCTCAGGACCACTAGTCATAGCCATCCTAACACAGGACGCTGTCGCTCCAGACACAGATGCTATGGCACACAGACCCGGGCACGGATCCTGGCATCCCGGGCACGGATCCCGACGCCCAGGGCACGGCCGCCCCGGCACCCCGGGCACGGACCCTGGCACCTCGGGCACAGCCGCCCCAGGTACGGACCCGGCACCCCGGGCAAGGGCACCAGCACCGCCGCCCCGGGCACAGACCCGGGCCGAC